TCCTTACTAATTTTGGAAACAAAACAAACCAGTATACAGTTTGAACCACATTCATTAAACTATTTGTTGCACTAAATGGCATTCCTTCTCTGTAGTGACTTCAGATCAATCCTCACAAGCGCCTCGGATTTCAGAGGAAAGCACCACTGCTCACCCAGATACTGCCTCCTACTGCGGTGGGTGGAATTCCATGTGATGTCAGATGACTCCTGAGGCAATGTGAAACATTAGCAGGACCTCATGCATTTTCACATTTATTACACACAGCTAAATAACCAAGCTGGGCCAACTGCGTTTCCTTTTTATCTGTCCGAAGACAGTCTGGGTGGTGAAGGGGCAATCCTTAGCCTGTGTCCACCCATAAGACATATCTGAGCATATATGAAAATGCTGAGTTAACATGATGTTTAAAACCAGTTCTATGTTCATTAAAATGCCTTCTATAGGCTCCTATTAAGAAGACAAACTTTTATGACCTCAAGCAAGCAAACAGATAAGAACACCAACAAAGACACATTTGTTCTACTATATTCAAAACTTTTTTACTTTGTGTGCTGTTCTTTCTGTCGAGGTTTATTATTTACTATGAAAGTGGCCTAAGATGGGGGTCTGTTGTCTTGCTTTGGTAAGCACTTCAAAGCTCACAGCCCTATCCAGACATGCTAGCTCCCAAACAGTCTGGTGCTACTACATGTAAACGACGACCTTCAAACACAAAGTCATTTCTATGCACACCATACTACATACACTTTATAAGTGAAGTAACCATTAGATTATGTAAATAAGAATTAATCCTATTTCTAAAATCAATAAATATAGCCAATATATTAGCTTAAAATTGAAGATTTGGTAATTCTATTCATATTACACATTTGCTTTGATTCATAGAAAGCACAATCCCAGAATGGAACTTCAACTTCATAGGAGCCTTTTGTAAATTCCTTAGGGGCAAGAATCGAATCTGCTATCGCTATTTTGTGCCTGACATATATATAATAGACTCTATAAAAATTTGTTGACTAGTATATGAATAAATGAAGGTATTAACACTAAAATGAATGGGATCAGGCTATTTTATGACTACAGAAATTACTATGTCCTTGCTTTTATGAAGTAAAGCAGGAGTTGGCAAACTTTTTTGTAAAGGGACAGATGGTAAATATTTTAGGTACTGTGGATCACTGTTGCAACTACTCAACCCTGATCTCTTTTGCAACTAAACAACAGCTGTTATACCACAAAAGCGGACATAGATAACATAAACAAGTGAGCATGATTGTGTTTGAATAAAACTTTATTTACAAAAGCATCCATAACCCATAAAAACATTCAAATCCCAAGGGAAACACTTTCTTACAATGAACACTATTCCCTAAAGACTGGAAATTGGTTAACTTGCTAAAGTCAGCTAGACATGTTTCATTGGGTCAAAAATTGGCCAAAGTATATATACTCATTCTCTTTAGTGCCATCACTCCTTACTAAACAACCTGAATGTTTGTGACAAGCCTGGCCCATGCAAGCCTTTGAATTTGCTTCCTGAATTCTACAGTACAAGTGGTTTCCTAGGATGTGACCTATATCCATCCCTGTGAAACTATAACCACAACACAGGCTCCTCAAACCCACAACTTTGCCCTTCACAGGGGTGGGGAACATCCGGCCCGTGGGCCTATATCATTTGGTTTGGCCCTGCCAAGGCATTAGGGGTGAGTTAATTAAACGTTTGACCAAACAGAGCAGGCTAATTTTTAAGTTGATCATTTTGTATGGCCTAAGAATGATGTTATAAAATATCCAAATGGTCCTATCTAACAGCTACCGTATTTGCCGGCGTATAAGACGACTGGGCGTACAAGACGACCCCCTAACATTTCCACTCAAATACAGAGTTTGTTATATACTCGCCGTATAAGACTACCCCCTCTTCCGCACACCTTCCACACACCAAATAAAAGGTAAAACAATATCAGATTTGATTTTAACATTTTAATTTATATTCAAATGCTTATGACATGCAGGAAAACTGTCACAAGGCTGTATGTAATCAAACATATACATAAAACAGTGCAAGTTTATTACCGGTAAACATACCGGTAATTCACTAAAGAAAACACACTCTATAGACTGGTACCGAGATGCTTCTCAGGAACACAGGCAAGCAGCCCACAACCTAGAGGGACTGTCAATGATAGAAGAAAGATAACAAATAGAGGTAGAGAGCAAGTGCCGGGCAAGTCCCTAGCAA